TTTTTAGTTTCAGATACATGAGGCATACTTCCCAGAGTCCGACCTGCTTAGGCCAGAATCTGCCCCTCCCCCAGTCATGTTGGTCACCAAGATGCTCAAGTACTGCGCAAGTACAGAGCTCTACAAATAATTAAAGTGATCTCAATGCATTAATGTACCATTGCCTGTTTTCGCTCTCTTCTGCCCTTTGACAGCTCTCAGCTTTGTCGCAGGATCTATGCTTGCTCTTCTGGCCTACAGCAGCCTTGAGCCTACAGGCTCTGCTTCTCTCTCCAGTCCACACTCATGCCTTTTCTCCCTTGAGCCTTATCACAGTTTCAGTGTTTAGTCTGCTTCGCACTTTCTCTTCGCTATCTGGAACCATCTTACAATTTTCTCACTCACCATGCTGCTTTGATGATGGTAGTTTGTGCTGTTGCACTAATTAGCATCATAGCTTGGATTCCGTTCTGCTGTGATGGGCCATCAGAGTCGAATCTATAAACACCACTGAATACTGTTTTGTACATCAATAAATCACGTTCAGTTCCTTCTAATGATCTTTCCTTGTTGAATTCCAGCAGAGGTGAAAACAGGTCTAAACATCACTCTGACTGGAATGTTCGTCTCACTGAAAACCACATCGCAAGCGAACAAAAAACTGTTGTCAGACACACTGGAAAAAGAATCCAAAGTGTTTGCATAACACGGAAGTTCACTTAAAACAATAACTTCTGTTCAGCTACACTATCACTGTCATTCTATAGATATAGTCTTAACACTACACAAAAGTGTTAAGACAACACATAAGCACATACTCCAAGTAATACTGCAAAAAAGAAAAAAAAATCAGCAGTTCTTCAGCTTCTGGTAGAAGTCAGTTGAATGCTGGGCCTTGAAAAAATCAATATCTGTCTGAATGCACAGGCTCAGGCCCATTCGAAGAAGGTCCATATCTGGTGTGCATCAGAAGGTTTTTTTTGTCTTAGAGCAAGCACCTCATTAAAGAGTCAAGATCAGACAAAGGAAACATGGAGCTGAATTCCATTCTGAGAAATCAATAGCTGTAAGGCAGAAGCCTTTCAGACCTGAGCATGCACAGACACAGATCAGAATCATGGCATAATAGTAATAAATACATTTGTA